CTTGGTTAATGTTAAGTTTATGTGACAGTTGTAATAAAGCTTTATATTAAGGACTATCAACATAATATCAGTGATTAGTAAAGAAGGCGAGACATTTCAGCGTGTGCACTCTTGTTGGACAACAACTCAAATATGCTTTAAGCAGTTCGCATCAAACTTTGGTGAATTATTTATAGCTATTGATGTAATCTCCCTATAGATTTTCATAAATTTTAAATATGACATTGAGAAGAAATTGAACTTTATTTGTTTATAGTCTGGCAACAGATTTATTAAGTATTGCGCAACAGCACAATGTATTGCACAACAGCAAGAAATCTTTAATTGATTATAAATTCAATTCATATAACCGATTTCAAGTTCTTTGACTACATTTATTCAGAAACTATAATATGTCAAATATTTAATTACAATCCAAATTCAGACCTGTATCAAGCTTGAATATTGTGTCCATTTTTGCCCCAACTGTTCAGGGTTGGACCTCTGCGGGTGTATCCAGCTGCGCTCAGCGAATCAGTTTATTTCTTAATTAAGAACTCCTTTTCTCATTCATAAATTACTTTAAACTTGGAAAGATAATTTTGCTTGGAGTTATAGTTTCTTAAAAAAGTATTGTCATTGAAAGAGTTGACATGTTGCAATGTACATTTATTCTACATAGTTCTATGGTACCAAATCAAAAGTTTATATAAAAGAAAGAAGTCAAAGGTTTCCCATCATAGTTAAGTTACATACTTTTTTTTTGTACCTGAGGTCGTTGAATATAGATCATTATATAAATAAGGAGATGTGTTATGATTGCCAATGAAACAACTATCATCCATACTTAACAGTAACAAACCACATTTGCAGAGTTGAATAAAATACAGTTGATAACATTTACTTATTACTAAAAAGAAAATGCCTAACTATTTTAAACAGTATTTGAATATCAATTATATGGTCATTTTTATACGCCCGTTTACGGGACGTATTATGGTATACCGTTGTACGTCCGTCTGTCCGTCTGTCCGTCCGTCCGTCCGTCGTCAACATGTCAGACATTAACTCAAAAACGCTTTAACCAATTTGCTTAAAACTTTGGTGAATTGTTTATATCTATTGACATGAGCTCCCTTTCGTTTTTTATAAATTTTAGATTTTACGTTTCCGAGTTATGGGGTTTTATTCATAAAAAAAGGGGGATTTTCCAGTTTTGGGACAATAACTCAAAAATGATTTCAGCAGTTCTCATGAAACTTTGATGAAACGTTGATATCTATTGATGTAAGCTCCCTTTAGAATTTTATAAATTTTAGATTTTACATTTCTGAATTATGGGGTTTATTCATTAAAAAAGGGGGGATTTTCCAGTTTTCAGACAAAAACTCAAAAATGCTTTCAGCAATTCGTATGAAACTTTGGTGAACTGTTTATATCTATTGATGTAAGCTCCCTTTAGAATTTTATAAATTTTATTTGTTTATAGTCTGACAACAGATTTACTAAGTATTGCGCAACAGCACAGTGTATTGCACAACAGCAAGAAATCTTTAATTGAATATAAATTCAATTCATATAACCAACTTCAAGTTCTTTGACTACATTTATTCAGAAACCTATGATAGATGTATGTCAAATATTTAATTACAATCCAAATTCAGACCTGTATCAAGCTTGAATATTGTGTCCATTTTTGCCCCAACTGTTCAGGGTTAGACCTCTGCGGGCGTATCCAGCTGCGCTCAGTGAAGCAGTTTATTATAATCTTCCTGTTACAAAACTTTGAATTTTTCGAAAAACTAAGGATTTTCTTATCCAAGGAATAGATTACCTTAGCCGCATTTGGCACAACTTTTTGGAATTTTGGGTCCTCAATGCTCTTCAACTTTGTACTTGTTTGACTTTATAACTATTTTGATCTGAGCGTCACTGATCAGTCTTATGTAGACGAAACGCGCGTCAGGCGTATTAAATTATAATCCTGGTACCTTTGATAACTAATTTGACTATAAACATAGATAAAAAAGGTACAAACTGGACATAATGCACTAGTTCATAAACAAGTGAGAACAATCACCTTCATATAGTGCTCAGAATATGACATTCATATAACTTGTTCAATATCATTAGAGAACTCTAAATCTTAAATACTGAAAGCCACCTCTGATAAGTACACTGTTCTATGCAAGATAATGATATAACTGGACTAAAAATACACACAACCTGTAATTAACTGCCTTGACAGCGCTGTCGCGCTTTGATTTATAATCCCTTTCCTGTAATAAAACTGCCACTCCAGTAGTTTGGTAATCCTGAGGGCCCTCCTAATATCTATATCAATGCCTCCGGGAAGCATTGGCTAATGATCGCCAATCACTTTTTACCTGTGGTTTTAATTCACACCTGACAGTGATGACAAACTCAGAATAATATCTTAACAAAAATTGAAATTCCCTGACAAGTGTATTCATTATTTAATTTCTTTTCAGCAAAGACAATCATCAAATCTGATTTTAAAATTAAACCTAAATTTACGGAGAAAAGAGTATTTTTTCATGTGCTTTATTTATTACTATATAATACGCATGCGTGAAATTGTCTTCAGCAAATTTAATATTTAATCGTAAAATGCAAATTGATTTCATGCTAAATTAAATGAGTGCAACTATTGTCTGTTACATTCAAACACTTTTAAAGGTAATAAAATAAAAAAAACTATAAAAAGCCGGTGATTTCCGGTCAATTTGATAAACAAAACAAATCCCGGAAATGAATCCGGAATTATTCGTACTTTAACTTTATCGCAAACTTCCGGTTTTAACTTTTGTCAAATCGAAAGAAACGTAAGCAATGTCTGAGAGATTTTGAGTCATTAAAATCATTTTAATTTTAAACTATAGCCTTCCCTAAACTGTTCTTCATGGTAATGGTAAGACATTTACTTAGTAAATGCGATGAAACAGCAATACAAGTTCGTTGATGCTATGAATCTGGTCAAGTTGACATCAACAATTTGGAAAGGGGCACCAACTTTTCAATCATCTCAAAATGACCGAAATTGTGCGGAAAAATTTCCGGATCCTTGTTTGTTGGGATTGATTTTGGGGGTTATGGTACCTACAGTGAAGGAATTACGGGCCAAAAAGGGGCCAAAAATAAGCATTTTTGTAACTTCCAGACATAACTTGTGTGTTAGTTAATGGATCTCTCTGACATTGTACCACAAGGTTTCATATCACAAAGGGAATGCTGGGATTGATTTTGGGGGTAATTGCCTCAAAATTTTAGGAAGTAGGGGCCAAAAAAGGGGCAAAAACAAGCATTTTTCTAGTTTCATGATAATAACTTGTGTGTAAGTGTATGGATTTTTCTGAAATTGTACTACAAGGTTCCATATCACAAAGGGAAAGATGGAATTGAGTTTGGGGGTAATTGCCCAAAACGTTTAGGAAAAAGGGGCCAAAAATAAGCATTTTTCTAGTTTCCAGACAATAACTTGTGTTCAGGTGTATGGATCTCTCTGAAATTGTACTGCAAGGTACCATACCACAAAGGGAAGGCTGGGATTGATTTTGGGGGTAATTGCCTCAAAATTGTAGGAATTAGGGGCCAAAAAGGGGCAAAAAACAAGCATTTTTATACGCCTGTTTATGGGACGTATTATGGTATACCGTTGACCGTCTGTCCGTCCGTCGTCAACATGTCGGACATTAACTCAAAAAAGCTTAAACCAATATGCATGAAACTTTGGTGAATTGTTAATATCTATTGACGTGAGCTCCCTTTTGTTTTTTTATAAATATCAGATTTACCGTTTTCGTTTTTTATAAATTTCAGATTTACCGTTTCTGAGTTATGGGGTTTTATTCATTAAAAAAGGGGGGATTTTCCAGTTTTTGGACAATAACTCAAAAATGCTTTCAGCAGTTCTCATGAAACTTTGGTGAATTATTTATAGCTATTAATGTAATCTCCCTATTGATTTTCATAAATTTCAAATATGACATTGAGAAGAAATTGAACTTGTTTATAGTCTGACAACAGATTTACTAAGTATTGCACAACAGCAAGAAATCTTTAATTGAAGATAAATTCAATTCATATAACCAATTTCAAGTTCTTTGACTACATTTATTCAGAAACATATAATATGTCAAATATTTAATTACAATCCAAATTCAGACCTGTATCAAGCTTGAATATTGTGTCCATTTTTGCCCCAACTGTTCAGGGTTGGACCTCTGCGGGCGTATCCAGCTGCGCTCAGCGAAGCAGTTTATTCTAGTTTCAGGACAATAACTTGTGTGTAAGTGTATGGATCTTTATGAAATTGTACTACAGTACAAGGTTCCATATCACTAAGGGAAAGCTGGGTTTGAGTTTGGGGGTAATTGCCCTAAACATTTAGGAATTTGGGGCCTAAAAACAAGCATTTTTCTAGTTTCCAGACATTAACTTTTTTTCCATTTTAAATTGGTTATATCTGATTTATATATAAAAGCAAATAATAATGATATGGTTTGAATAGGTAAATTAAAATTTTTTAAGTTCTTAGACCACATTCATTCTGTGTCAGAAACCTATGCTGTGTCAAATATTTAATCACAATCCAAATTCAGTGCTGTATCAAGCTTGAATGTTGTGTCCATACTTGCCCCAACTGTTCAGGGTTTGACCTCTGCGGTCGTATCAAACTGCGCCCAGTGGAGCATCTTATTTTATTTTAAAATCATTTTCATTATACTAAAATGAGCAACAGGATGGGTGCCACATGTGGAGCAGGATCTGTTTACTCTTCCAGAGCACCTGAGGCCACCCCGATTTTTGGTGGAGTTCATGTTGCTCAGTCTTTAGTTTTCTATGTTGTGTTTTGTGTACTGTTGTTTGTCTTATGGTCTTTTTCTTTTTTTGCCATGGCTTTGTCAGTTTATTTTACGACTTATGAGTTTATATGTCCCTTTGATATCTTTCTCCTATCTTATACAAATGTATATTAATTTGATATCTTATTTTGACAGGAATCCCTTCCAGATGGAGAGAGGGCACAACCTATGAGAGAGAACACATATGTAAGAGTGTGTGGACATGTGAGGTCAATGGGAGGACAGAGAACAATAGCTGCTTTCAGAATGACACCTATTATGGATATGAATGAACTAACATACCACACATTAGAAGTTGTACACAGTCATCTTATGTTGAATAAATTATCGGTAATATAAATTGTAAAAATGAGATAAAAAAAATTGTTCATTTCATACATCGGTAGTTATTACTTTAGGTCAGTAAATTGATGTGAGGAAACATGCTAAAGGAGAAATACCCAATACTGGGCAATTGATGTATGAATTATCTGCACATGATTATGATGGAGACTGTAGTTGCTGGTCTCAACCTATTTAGTAATTAAGGCTTTAATGACTATGGGATGTTTTATTGGGCAACAGTTAAAAAAAAGAGAACTGGAAATTTTAGTAGCAACATAAATTCCATAAATAAAAACCTGAAAAGGCAAAATTTATTTTGTGTAAATACTATTATAAGTATACTTAGGGTTAAATATTCTAGAAATGATTGTTTCATTGATCATTTGGCACATTTTGTGGAAATCCAACTAAATATAAACTGCCAGATTTCTCTCAAGTGCCTCCTGGGCCCTCGGTCAAAAAACTTTACAAAGTACTTGGAGTACAAAATATGTGCTTGAAACACCAAATCCAGCATTTTGATAGGTTGAATTTTGAGTCTTGAGTTCAATAATTGTACTCAAAATTTTTATGACTGCAAGGCTTGACCGCAAGTTCACTCATTTCTGGAATATATATTTTATCTTTAAAAAAAAACTTGATATATATTGCCACAGATAAGTATTTGTTTTTTATCCACTTGTCCATAAATAAACCTTGACCAGTAGAAGGCATTATAATGATTGTACATTCATATTGTATATTTATTACAGGGTGGAAGTGAAGGAGGAACGAGTTATGGAAACAGTATGCAGACAAATAATGAACAGAGTTATGGAGATAACACTGGTGGTGGGGGTGTGGTCAGTGGTTTGAGTTCTGTACAAAACCAGGTTTGTATAAAGATTGATTCTTATAAGTTAGGTGTAGCATTAATGTAGGAGAAATTTTATTCCATTGTTAAAAGTTGAATGAGTATTTCAAATTTTGGCAGAAATATATGGTATAGACAGTCTGTATACTAAATTATTAGACTGTTTATAGTCCTTTAACTTGTGACGGTCAACCTCATTCAATTCCATTCAGTGACCCCTTAAAAAGCACAAAACTTTTGATTGAATGTTAGTATGATTTTTTAATGCACAAGTTGTTATTTGTAATGCTACTTTTGGTTTTAAGCAATTTTACTGACAAATTCTTTTAAAGTTTGACTTCTAAGAAGTATCAATGATGGTCAAATTCTTTTTAAGTTTGACTTGTAGTATCAATGATGGTCAAATTCTTTTAAAGTTTGACTTCTTGTATCAAGGATGGTCAAATTCTTTTAAAGTTTGACTTCTAGTATCAAGGATGGTCAAATTCTTCAATATTGATTTTAACATTGAATTTCTTCATGTTAAGAATCCATGTATCTACTGATAAGAGATCCATTAGTGAATACAAAATTTCTTCAGATATTGTACATGCCAAAATTTCAGTGTTCAATCAAAATTACCTGGTCTAATCACTTTTAAATCTGAAGGTATTTAGATAATATTTATGATTTAATAAGTGAATCAAAGAGACATAATCATATTTCTGTCCTTAAGAATTGAGAACCATGCGTTAATTATAAAGAAATATATTGGCTAGGGAAAGTTGAAATGAGATTGAGATAGGAATAAGAGGATATGAATTAATTATCAAAATGATTGAATTAGGCCAAAAATTTAGCTGTGCTTCTTGCCTTCCTACCTACCTGCCTTATAATTTCATGCCTACCTTTCACATTTTATGGACATTTTTGGTTAAGCACTGTTCAAGTCCCTATAGAAGACATTTTTTTTTCACCAGTACGCAGGAAAAAAGCATATTTTGTATGGCCTAGTTTAAGTTGCTTAGCAAAACCTAGGCCTGTAACTGACATTCTACACAGTAACATGAAAAAAGTTGAAGATATTATGACTATGATTTTGTATTCTTTATAAAGGTACATATGTTGATAAGGAGTAACAATACAGAACAAGGAGCTAATATAAATGATGTATGTCAACAGTTACGAGGAGTACCAGAAAAAGCTATTAGGTTTGTATAACTATATCTCACATGGTTGGTCATGTGATGTACTAAAACAAAGACAAACAACTTGTAAACACTGAAATGTTTTATTGCATACTAAAAACATCTTATTTGAGAACTGTCTCTGTGGTCTGATTGGAGTGTGTTTGCCTCTAGTGCAGGAGGTTTTTGGTTTGATCCCCTGCCAGGTCAGACCATGGACTTTACTACTGATATTTGCTTCTTCTCCACTTAGCATGCAGCATTTAAGACTATTAATGTCAGAATGGTGTGTATGGATATGTCTTCCTGCAGACTGTTATCTTGTGAACTTGCACATTAAAAATCAGCCTGTTAAAAATGTAGGTCTGATACAAACCAAGACTCCTCTTCATATCACATTGAAATGTTCTCATCCTCATATGCATGTTATATGTGCCAGATTAAACACCAATCCCAGACCATCATTGTCTAAGTTTAGCATTATTAATGTTAAAAAAAACAGTATTAGAAAACAGTAATATAACACACACAAAAACATGATATCGGGAGGAAGCTGGACATTAAGATCTCAGACGTATTGCACTCTAAAGTATATACATATTACATATGAGTTAATTATTTAAACCATTCATATCAATTGTGTGCTTACAAATTTGAATAACGGCAACAATGAGACAGCTACCCCAACAAAACAAAAACCAAACAACATGTACCAATTGAACAGCTTGTTAGTCTTTAATTGATGGATAAAACTGCAAAATTATCAAAACCCAGTATTTGTTTACTTATTTTACAGAGATGCCATTGAATTTCTGAGTAGTGAAGGACATATATACTCAACCATAGATGAAGATCATTATAAGGCAACAGACAGCTGAACAGTTTCTTTGATAAACTTTTACTCAATATTATATGTCCTCTGAGTTCAGCACATGTGAAGAGTATATTTCATGGAGGTGTTCATAGTCAGACTTCAGACACATGAGAAAATTATGATCATTTTACATGTATGTTGTAAAATATACAAAATATATTATTTTGAATTATAAGCCTTTACTCAAAACTGACAGTAGATTTCAAAGTACAATACAGTATCAATTTATATAAAAGCAATTTCAAAAGAGAAGAATTGAATGGCACCAATCCTTGTATTCTTGAATAAATATATGAATTTTTACTTTGTAGAAAATGGGTCCAAAAGCCTTATATCTGAAACTGTGTAACAAAATAAATTATTATCAGTCCGTTTTTCTCTCCAAAATCATTAACATGCAGACTACACATTTATTTAATACCTTGCTTTGTGAATTTAAATTGCTGCCTAAAAACTTCACCTTGGATGACAATTGAATAAAAAAGCTTTTGTCAGACCATATGATACTGGTCATGATTGATGTTTGCTTTGAAAGCTTTAGTTTTAAGGAATTATACCTCATTCAAATGGAAAATTTACCAGAGTGGTGTTTCCTGGGGAATATCTTTTCCAATTTTTGTCACACTTAAATCAAATGTCACTAAATACAAGACATATATAGCTATGCTAATCCAGGGATCACAGCATAAAACATTTCATACAGTAAAGAGTCAAACCTTAATAAATCCATGTCAAAGGGAACTGTTCAACTTATCCAAAGTTATGAGTTGCATTATGTTCTCCCATTTTACTATTGTACCAGTTTCAATTTAAGTCTCAAACATATTTTCTAACCATCTGCATCAATAATAGTGTTTGTTGTTCAATCAGTAGAAACTTGCAACCAATGATTGGTTTTGATTGTTTAAGCCAAACCAAAACGTCTCAATTATGTAATCAGTTTTGTTTTAAAGAGCCAACATATAAATGAATGACATTCTCAATATGCTACATAACAAATATTAAGTAATGCTTTTAAGTTCAATAATTTAATTTTGGATGTAACACGTCTTCTGATTGGCTGAAAGTATTTAGTCTATAGGCTCATAGACATAATTTTGTCATGTGACTGACTTCATCAACGTTTTTTCATGATTTACTCCTTAAAAATGGAGTTTAAAATTTAATAATAAGGAACGACTAATATTTTTTTCTGTCTATTCGAAATAACCTAAAAAATGTGGTGCACACTTTTAAATAACTGGATTACAGTAATTCCTTAAATGAATATGCAACAAAACATCTGAAGTGGAACTTAGAAATATACTAGAGTAAATGAAGATTTTCATATCCACCAAGTTCATTAGACTTAAAAATGTTTTTGACAAAGAGGAATTTAACAGGGACTGGCAGAATACTAACTTTATTCACATGTATTTCAGAAAACAAAAGAGTTTCAAAACGATCTCTTGTAGTTCAGTTCCTTGTTAACAAAATGTTAATATTCATTGGTCTATAAAACCATTTTCAGGGTACCCAATAGTCTGGCGTGCGATTGCTACCTCATTTTCTATGTGAACACCTTCATGGTCTCAAGGTAGGATGAAAGCCTCAAGTCTAGAAAGTTTCAATTCTATACTCAGCTCTGTCATAATTCAAAATTAGTATTTGCTTCATATTACCCAAACAAATATCACCAAAGACTGGAGTTCAGAATCAAAATGTTGTGTTCCAGTATGGTGACATGTCTTGATGCTGACTGCTTGTGAGATAGCACTTCAAAATATCTGACTCGTGATTTTGCTCCAGTACAAAGCAGAGAAGATAAACATAACATTAACTTGTTGTTTAGATTTCCAAATTTCAGTTTTTTGTCGTCTGTTAGTGATCTAATATATACTTTAAAGTGTTGATGTTTTATTTCTGCCTGTGGGAAATTTGGGAAAGAAAACAAGCAATAAAGCCATGTACTTCATACAGCTGTAACTGTACACTTCAGCTCATGCAAACACAGGACTGATATGGCAAGCTAATGACGGCACAATAAGTTATGCTAAGAACAGAACATAGGTGTAAAAGTCAAGTTTTGTTTATTATCTTAAAGACCAATATGAATACAGAAAATCTGCCAGTGGCAAAAAGGCTATATACGTCAAAACTGTCTGCTGACTTCTTATAGGAGTTATTGCCCTTAAATGTCAAATTTTTCCATTTTGTCTCGCCTGTGATGAAAGTCGCGGAAAGCGAGACAGGGATTGCTTTTCAGGAGACAGATGCGGTGATGGCTCCAACAATTGTTAAGTTTTCTGCTTAAGTTAGTTTGATAGGAAGTACTTGTGATAGATCATTGATATTTAATACAAAGTTGCATTACTATCAGTACATATCAGTTTGATGACTATTTCGAGGCCCTGCCCCCTAGGTCATGCTCCAGTGACTTTGAATTAATTAGCAATTTTCAATGTTAAGTTTTCTGCTTAAGTTAGTTTTGATAGGAAATACCTGTGATAGATCAATGATATTTAATATAAAGCTGCATTACTATTAGTACATATCAGTTTGATGACTATTTTGAGGCCCTGGCCTCTAGGTCATGCTCCAGTGACTTTGAATTAATTAGCAATTTTCAATGTTAAGTTTTCTGCTTAAGTCAGTTTGATAAGAAATACTTGTGATAGATGTATCAATGAAATTTTGTATAAAGTTGCATTACTATCAGTTTGACAATTATTTTCAGGCACTAACTACTAGATAATGGTCCAGCGACTGAATTAATAAATCATGTTGCTGTCCGTCAGAGTGTCTTTTTCTGAATTTTATGACGACAGGCGAGACATATCTCTGTGTCAACAGTTTATTTATACCATTGAGGTCATATAATGGTATGACGTCGTCGTCCCAAGACATTTGGTTTCTAGACAATAACTTAAATACAAGTGTATGGATCTCAATGAAATGGACCCACAAGGTTCCATTCCACAAAAGGAAGTTTGGGATTAATTTTGGGACTTATGATCTTAACCGTTAAGGAATTCAGGGCCAAAAACAATACTTTTCTAATACTGTATAAATTGCTTATTTCTTGACCAATTTCAGAGGGGTTTAATTCAAAGTCTTCAATATTTGGGGTTCTTTAATATGCTGAATCTAACCGTGTAATTAGATTTTTGTCTCGCCTTGACTGAGTCAAAAAGCGAGACATAGGTATGCTGTTTCCAGCGGCGGAGGTGTCAACAATGTATTAGTTTGTGATTAGGTCTAGATCATGGTGAACCACTAGTGGTAGGTCAATGATATTTGGTATGCAGTTGTATTAGCATTGGCACATCTCATTACCATGGGGATTATTTGGCCCAGCCCCCTCAGTCAAGGTCTATTGACTTTGAAACTTTTGCTGAGTTTACATGTATTAGTTTGTGATTAGGTCAGTTTATTGGGAACCACTAGTGGTAGGTCAATGATATTTGGTATGCAGTTGTATTAACATTGGCACATCTCATTACCATGGAGATTATTTGGCCCCGCCCCCTCAGTTAAGGTCTATTGACTTTGAAATCTATCTTAGTTTACATGTATTAGTTTGTGATTAGATCAGTTTATGGGGAACCACTAGTGGTAGGTCAATGATATTTGGTATGCAGTTGTATAAGCATTGGCATATCTCATTTCCATGGAGAATATTTGGTCCTTACCCCTCAGTCATGGTCTATTGACTTTGAAACTTTTGCTTAGTTTACATGTATTAGTTTGTGATTACTTCAGTTTAAGATGAACCACTAATGGGAACAACTTATGAAAAGTCAATGGTATTTGGTTTGCAGTTGTATTAGCATTGGCACATCTCATTTCCATGCAAGTGAATAATTCATCAGCGATGTTTCTAAGCTTATTTTGACAAAATTCAACCAAAATGGCTGCTTAAAATTTGAAATTGGACATTTACCTATTATGGTCCAACATCCAAAATCTAAATACATGTTTAGATTCAGCATATCAAAGAACCCCTTGAATTCAATTTTTGTCCAAAAAATGCTTGTACAAATTACAATTTGTACAAAATTTGACTAAAATTCACTTTTAATTTGTACAAAGGATATATGATGATTTAACATGAAAGAAATGATGGCCTTTTATATATTTTTAACATTTATGAGTTTTAATTGCCTTGAGGAAAACATTTTTGTATTTAACTCTTCTTGAACACTTTTCCACTGTTCATTATTGTGGGGTCAATTGTTTTAATAAGTCGCCAGCATGCGCTGTCTGGCCAACAGATCCAAGTCGAATATCTTACCAAAAAACAAAACCGAAATTATTAGAACTTGGAATGGGGTATAATATTATTATACCTATTCCTCATCTGTGGCGGATCCAGAAATTTTCATAGGGGGGGGGGGGGGGGGGGGGGGCACTGACTGCCTAAGAGGGGACCCGCTCCAGTCATGCTTCAGTGATTCCCTAAATAATCAACCATATTTTTCCCACAAAAGGGGGAGCCAGGCCCTCTGGAAAACCTTCTAGATCCGCCTCTACTCATTATGATCGTGCCCCAATTGATCCTCGAAATATCTTAGGCGTAATTGTTGAATCTGGAGATTTTGGATAAAGCATTGGAAGAGCTGTTGGAATTTTAATAGAATATTTGTCTAGAAATCAAATTGAAGGGGTTAAAGACATATGTTTATTCGCATAACGGTTCCTGAGCTTCAATTTTCGCTATGTGACGCATTTAAAAAGCTTTCAAAAACTGGTGGTCTTGGGTTTCTTTCGTGTAATGGCAAAGGTGGAGTACAGCACTTCTAAATGTAAATGTAAAAAGCAAAAGATGGTGTGCAATTCACGGTGACATTATTCACTCACATGCTCAAACAAATGATACAGAGAACTATTTTTGTATTTTGTAAATACGGTTAAATTTTTTGGTCATTTAATCAAAATGCTATAGTGTGTATCAATGCCTCTTCAACCAAATCCATATTATAAATTATTGAACAAGTTATAAGTGAATTTTAGTAAAATTTTGTGCAAATTGTAATTTGTACAAAGACATAAGAATATGTGGTATGAGTGCCAATGAGACAACTCTCCATCCAAGTCACAATGTGTAAAAAGTAAACAATTATAGGTCAAAGTACGGCCTTCAACACGGAGCCTTGGCTCACACCGAACAGCATGCTATAAAGGGCCCCAGAATGACTAGTGTAAAACAATTCAAACAGGAACCCCAACGGTCTAATCTATATAAATAACGAGAAACGAGAAACACTTAAGAACCACATCAACAAACGACAATCACTGAAACAGGTTCCTTTTTTAGGACAGGCGCAAACAAATGCAGCGGGTTTAAACGTTTTAACAGGCGCCAACCTTCACCCTAACTTGAAATAGTAGTGTAACATTACAACATAGAAAGACACACTATAAAATATCAATTGAAATGGCTTAACTCAAATAAAAAGACATATTAACAAAAACAAGTAAATATACACTGAATGAATAAATTTGATCTATGACACAATGTCAAAAAGACAACTATAACCTTAGACAAAATGGCGTTAAATAAAATAACGTAAACAGGTAAATTTGAATATAATAATAATGTTGTTAGGAGTACTGAGATATTTTTTTACAAAGTAAATAAATTTGTTGTTCATAGTACGAGAACAGCAGTGAAAATTTATCGTCATACTAAATACTTATCAAAGGTGGTACATATTGAAAATAGTGAGACGAGATATAACACAAAATAAGTAAACATTGAATAACAAAAATGCATTACAAATTGTGTAACAGGTCAAATTAACACGAAAGTACGATTTGAGAGTACTCGCAGTTACTGAAAGCTAGTTAAAAGGCAAAAACAATTAATAATAAAAAATCATGCATCAGAGACTAAAATCAACTATAACACATCCCAGCGATTTAGTGTTTTAACGCCATGGACAGTCAAAGAAGACATGACTTGTGCAATGCCAAAATAAAAGTATCGACAGGCAGTAGGATAGTTTGGATTTAACCTTATAATAAATATGTATAATGTTATTTATAGATAAAGCAATCTCTATATAGAAAATGAACGTGGATGTGTATTGATACATCAAAAAAAAACATGACAAAATCGATATTTGTGCCAATGTAAACAATATTCAAAGATCTTATTACAACATTAATAAGATAACCTTTACTAATAAGTTTGTTTAAAGGTTCGATGAGTTTACGCGGATCACATAGTGATTTCCGCGCTTTTAGTACAATATTACCGTAAAATTTAGGATGTAAAATACCGTTTTTAATAAGTTTTCTACAGGTACAGCCAAATTTACTAATCAAATCTTTGTATCTATGAAAGAATTTAGTAAAAGATTTAAGTAATTTATAGTAACGAAATCCCTGACTTAATAATTTACCAGTGATGCATTGATTACGTTCGTTAAAATCTATGACATCACTACACACACGGGCATAACGAACGAGTTGGGATATATAAACACCGTATGATGGAGCCAAAGAAACATCGCCGTCAAAAAAAGGAAAATTAACAATAGGGAATGAAAAATCGTCTCTTTTGTCGTAAATTTTAGTATGGAGTTTCCCTTTAGAAATTGAAATGTCTAAATCTAGAAAAGGACAACTACTGCTGTTTATGTTAGATTTATTTAGAATAAGTTCCTTTGGGTAAATTTCGGTAGTATATTTAGAGAACTCTGGATTATTTAACGAAAAAATATCATCAAGATAACGGTAGGTATTGTTGAATGTGTCAACCAAATGTAACAATGACGTGTCTTTACTGAGTTTGGCACTTTTTGGACAAATTACAATTTGTACAAAGTCAAAATACAAATTATAATTTGTACAATTTTTTTGTACAAATTATAATTTGTACAATTTTTTTGTACAAATTATAAAT